TCATCATCATTATCATCATCATCATCATCATCATCATCACCATCATCATCGCACAGTGAAGCGCAGTGAAGCGAACTTCACTGATAGCTGAAAAACTCACAAGGCATGCATTTCAAATTTGATATCGGGACAGGACCAAACTATCCAGGATTCACTTGTGATTTTCGTTCCCCTCCTTGATATCATTCGATTAGTGAAATATGTTGCGCTATATTACCATAATAATCACTATTGGAAAAAAAGCCTGCTTGGGGTTTTGTTACGCCAAACTATCACCGAACATGGTCGCACGATGCATGTCCCCACGATCCCAGTTAAAAGACTGTTGCGAACAGTGCAAGCCTTTATTGGTGGTGCCAACCAAACGCCGATGGAGAAAGGGGTAGAAACAAGCTGTTTATATGGGGTTGATCGTAGTCTAGTCCTTTTTCTGGAATCAGGGCTACGCGGGGAGGGATAGAGAGAATGGAAAAATTGGGTTGCCGTTCTCTGAGCATCGCACTGACGACTACGTATTCAGGACCTTCGAGAGAACGCCGACACTTTATCTCAGTGGCAGCTGATCCCAATCCATTTCAAATTCATACCGCGAGAATTCTCAGGGCAACTTTAGGCTTCCTTTGACACTGCTTTTGCTTTTACTTTTAGCATGCTCCTTCGAATGTCTGGAGCAAATTGAAGTTACATGCAACCGATTTGATGAAACAGTTTAGCTCTACTAGGATTACTGTTTGAAACCTAATGAAAACGTATTGTACTGCGTACTGTAAACATTTCCTACAGGAATTTGGTACTTTGGTCATTGAAAATGGAACAAGTTAAACTATTGAATACCCCTGGATATTTTAAGAAGCTGCTTCTCACTGAAATAATCCTCACTCCTAACTGATTTCATGACACTGGTCGTTTATTTTTGAGTTTCCTCAATTCTCTTTACTAATCAGACATACATACACGTGCATGCATATACCGATATGGCGCTGAACTAGCCATTGGTTGTACAAACACAAAATAAGAACGAAACGGAATAATAAGTAGTTTTTCTAATAGACGGAGGGAAAGAAAGAAGTATTCGTTGCTTCTTTACTGTGCGCAAGCACTGGGATTACACACAGTCAAGCTAAAGTCAGTGGTTACGGAGAGCTCCATTGGGAATGGGATGCAACACATTGATCTCAAATTAACAATCAATATCGGACCTTTAATGAATAACGCCCTAGTGAAGTGCAGTCATGTTTCAACTGTAACGTTATTGGCACAACACCACCTCGTCTTCCACAAATAAATACATCATAGGAATAAAAGTGAAGTCGAAACACCATATGTAGTTACTGCAGTGTCATCTGAACCCCAGACTGTCGGAAACGAATACTTCCACTTCGGAATGATCTATCTCGGCGCACTCTATAGTGAAGGTTTGAGCGGGTGAGGATTGGTAGGTGACCATTAAATTCGTCTTTGGACAACCTCTGAAGTGCATGTGACTACTTAGATGCCTGGTTTGCAGTCATGCTCACTTTTCAACACTGTATGGTAATTCTTGTCCCATCGACCTCCTTCTCTATAATTTACAAATTCTAACCTAATAAAAGAATTTAGGTGGCTGTGAAGTATGACGAATTGAAAATTATTTTTAATTTATCGCTGGAGTTCCGGTGGTTTCTTTATCGTATCAGACGGAACCACCGATTTGGGCTCTTTGCAGATTCACATATCGACCTGCTGCAGTATTTTGAATGGCTGAATGAAAATACATGCTCGCTATACATATTTTTATTTAGATTGGACTAGACGGCAATAATAGTGCCATGAGATAAAATAGATTCGATGAATATAGAAACAGTGTCGCGGTCATTCGAATAAGAATTATACGTTATTAGAATTTTGGAGGCAAATCCGATACCCTCAGAGTAGGGTCATTGACAGACAGGATGATACGGCCACATGTCTGCTTCCCAACTCTCTATCCAAGTAACTCCATAACTGTTTTCTCAGAGTGATCCCGTTGTGTAAGCGCATCAAATAAACAATTGCCTTGAACACCGAAGTATAATTAACTATAGACACTGACATGTAATTCCCAACACGCCATTGTTTCTTATTATCTATCTAAATCTCAAATACCAATAGTTGTCACCTCACTGGGCATTCATAACTATGAATCACAAGGAATTCTTTCGCTGTCCGGTGGCTTTGTTTCATGAACATTTACAGCAAACCCTCTTAGGGCCTTCGTCGTCACTCAACCATATAACAATATTTACCATATTCTTTTTGATGATCACCAGTTACTGATGATTTCCCATTTTAATATCACCGCGGGTGAAATCTTGTATCGCATTCTTGGTAATTTTTCATATATTTAATCCATGAATTCTCACTGCGTCTATAAACGTGCCTGTCCGGATGGATAAAATTGCAGGATGAACCGGCAGTCATCAAATGTGAGATTAAAAATTAAAATCCATTAATGGGGTCTCGTGTTAGGAAAAATAGCTTGCGTTTGGCGCTCCATTGATCTTTTATAGTGACAAACATGTGGTGAGAAGATACCTGCTTCTGCGGAGTAGGATTTATTGGTTGAACCGTGAGACACCAAGGAGCACCATCCTAGATTATTGAATCAGGAACAGAGAAGAACCGCGTTCACAATAATTACCAACCATTCTCAATAATTTGTGGTCAAATTAACGTTACGCGAGAAATTCATATCCCTAATTTGGCAAACAATCATAATGATTGCATGCCTTCCCCGCACTCACCCCCACGCACGCACACACCTCGGGGGCCCAGAAATGGCTTGTAAGTACATTGATCCTATCATGGCCACCAATCTATAATGTGACGTAACCGCTGTTCGTAAACTTTCATGCATCTCCTCAAGCATTCAACACCATTCACTCCTACTCACCTGTTATACATACGTGCGTACACAAAGAGTGCAAATAACAATAAACGAAATTACATCGTCTAATTACAAACTCTTCCGCCGTTTTCAAAAGTTGTTTGTTCTCACCACCTGATGAGTCTACAGTGAAGTGAGCTGCATTTAACCGGCCAATGTAACATCAAAAATCTCGTTCGTCAACCTATTTTCCCATGCTCATCCAAGCGGGATTGTTTTCCCATCTAAAAACTCAACCTTTGAAGAAAGACGACTATTTTATCATTTCATTCTTTGTAGGATTTCTCAGATGAGTAGTTCACAGAATTGGAATTCTACTTAACTCCAAACGCGGTGTATTATGGCCAGTGGGTCCGATAAAATAATTTCTATCGATTAGCTCGCAAAGTTGATCCACTTCAAATGCTACTGAACGGACCACGTATTCAAAATAAAAAAGAAACTCCCAGCAGCGCCTAATGACGACAGACAGAACAGCTGAACTTCTAAATTTCGACGGCCCTGGATTTTTCTGTCGATTGCGCTCTTTCGCAGAACACTAAGATTTCGCCGTTGCCATTCTATTTCTTTCACTTCCCAAAGAGGACCAATGTATCCGAAACTGGAAGATTAATTTCAGTTTTCACTGGAAGTAGACACTTGCTCAAACGAGACAAATAAATAAAGCAACATGGCCGTTGATCCGCGTGATATTTATAATACAGTTCCGAAAAAAATAACAAGGTTATTCATTATTAAGAAAGAAACAATTTCTTTTTATTACAATAAAAACGAACGAACACAAATGCGTGTTTTGGTGATCGAACCCTCCGAGATAATGCCAGCTAAGTGATTATGCGATCAATCAAAGACAATGCATTTCAAGCAAGAGCTCGGTGACGCGGAGAATACGAATGGCGATTGGTTGATACCCGTTTAGCCGACAATCTTTTCCTGTGCATATTATTTTATCTCACTGATCTCATTCAACGACTGAATCATCACCTTAGTGGTCTTATTCCTGCTTGTTGCTGACGAGAGATTTCGGCAGCCGCTACTATTGCGATTGTACCATTGGATTTCTATCGAGATTGCTGATCTGTAATTCGTGATTCCCGATTCGTGATTCAAGACTATAGTCGGAGTATTACGTTCCGTCATTCCTATAAACCTGGTATATTCGTTTCTGGTTTCAATGTCTAACAAAAGGAAACAAATCACTTACTAAATGACTTTGAGCACGATTTAAAATCGCGGTTGAAAACATTGTTGACCAGAGATGTTTATTGTTCGTTTCATGTTAGATTTAGGTCCGATGGTGTCTCAGATCGTCACTTACGTGCCCAGCACGAACACACTGTTCGGCATTGGAATGGACGGACAGAGTTTGGTGCAAAGCAATAATACTGGATCCACGTGGAATGGGATTTCCATAGAAGTCTATCGTTCTGCCCTGAGCAAATCTGTGGGATCAGTAAATGCGACTGTCGTGCCTTGGTTGACAATCAACATGCAGTTTGATATCAACACACACGGAGAGGATTGTTCGGCGTATCAAGCTGGAAACTGGAACAGTGAGTAGTGGATTGCCTATGGACAGTACTCGTAATTTCCGCCTAATTGCACTTTCAAACTGAAGCTTGGTTTTTAAATCGTCAGTCTTTCCAAAGCACGATTAGTTCCACCATAAGTCGCTGTGAATTTGTCAGTCGGTGTATTTTTCGCAATTTACATCACTCCTGTTGTTTTCCCGGTTCCCTTGAATACATACTATGGTTCTGCACTGAGGTGCATAGATAATATGCCATTATTTGATTAATGCAATCTTATGGCACACTGATCCATAATCAGCAACGCCATCTTGATGATGTTAACATTTCGATACTGAGTTCCATTGACATCTGACCTATCACCCTTCACTTCAACCTGGAAAATACTCCCAGGTAATTGCAGTCCTCCATCAAAAATTGAGTCTTCTTGAAAAGTAAGTTATCTAAAAGGGCACAATGTCTCCTACCTAGATGAACTGTTTCTTCCGCCTTCAAATATGGAGATTCAGATTTATTCATGGGGTTGAAGAAAATCCTGAGGTCCACTGGGGATCGCAAATAGATTCCATCTGAATGGTGGGAATCGATCATTTTGCCGATTCAGAAGATGAGAGATCCTCTGGTGTAAACCACGAAGGAACTATTTTATTGACGTTACCTCTCGAGGGAGGGCATCATATCTTGTCGATTGTATGTTGCGCGTAAAGAGTGCGCACGTGAGACCTGATCGATGTTTTTTCGACCACATCTAAACTGTTTACCAAATTCTACAACTCAACGTAACGGTTTGATTGTTTGATTATCCCTTACCCTTCGGTGCGAATTTAACATATAAATTACCTTGCTACACTTCACTTCTGTTAGTCTCAATCGCAAAAGTAAATCCGCTTCAGTGTTGCACAGTTTACTCACCAGGCACATTTTGCTCATTACCAGAATGATACTAAGACTGACTCAAAAGACTTCCGTTGGTCAAATCCTCAGTAAAATAAAGGCACGCCATGCCCTGGATAATTGGCGCGACCTCTTAACTGAACCACGAGGATGCGCTACTTACCCACACAGCCGACCATGTGATTGCTACAAGTGAGCGGAAAATTGTATTCTGTAAGTCCCACACCGACGGAGGCCCTGAGTTAGTAGTACATCTGTGTCTGTATGGGCTTGTATGCAAAGATGAAGATCAGTGTCGTAAGTCATCTGGACTGATCATCCATCCATCTTGCATGCGCTTCATGTGGTCAAGATCACCTAATCCGCAACGTATGTCAGCCATTCGATCTGCTATAGCCATGCTCGGTTTTCACTTACCGCGTGCATTTTGAGTTCGTTTAATTCCTCTGCTGCAACAAAAACATGTGCGTTTGATCTTTACTTTCCCTTTTCTATGTTTCACGCCCTCCATTACCCGACCGTGCTATCGATCGTTGTACATTCAATTAGTTGCCCCATCAACAACTTTAAGATCTCTCTATCCTGATAATTTGGCCAAATAAGTATCACATTTCGTCCGGAAAATTGACGGACGCATACCACGAAAGACGTTAACCAATCAGACTGGGTCAGACGTGGACGATACCCCGATCACACGGCTTAGGATTAATTTCGCTAATTAGCAATTACTACTTCCTATATTGAAAATATGCAGTTTATTTATGCGAAACTGGAGGATAGTTTCTTCACTTTCATCGGACCGATTATTTTCTGTTTTACCGCCAGTTGTTATTTACCAATCAGCGTGTATGCAGACATAAGTTATCTTGAACAAAAACGCGAACAAAATTCACTGTCTTTTCAGGTTTGTACTACGGTAAAACATAAACATATGGAGGAAAATTGTAAATCCATTGATTTTTGATGAATTCTGGTAAAAAATGGACCCATACATTGATCTCATTGGTAGCGTTTCATGGGACGCTCGTCTATACAGAAGAGTTAGGCGTGAACAAAACCAACAGATTCATGATTCTAAAAGCCATTACTTTGTCAACCTGGAACGTATTCTTGATCAAAGGATTATTAATTTAAGATTGTTTTTGAATGTTTCTTTTTTCAACCCCCTCCCTGACAGTTTGTTACGATGGCATTTACTTCGGTTCGGAGCTGATTGTGGATTGGAATACAGATTGCCCTGACTTCCGGCTTCTTTTATCAGCGGAGTTGTGAAGCATAAATGGATGCTTCATCGGAAATTTCATTTTTAAGCCGATAATTCAACTCATTTCTCTGGAAATGTGCATACATTTAAATAAAGTACTTCATTTCGTCAATCAATGAACAAATAGATGTTGTCTCATGCACGATAGTAGCATATTATTTCAGCCATGACGTTTTTGAAAATTTCCGAATTTGTTGTGGAAACCTTTGTCATTTGAAACCTTCACTAGTTCCTCCCATAATTTTACTTCGAAACAAACCGTTATCTGAAATAAAGCTTTACTAGACATGTCGTCTTTTTTTAAATTTTTCATGTAACTGTTGGTTTCACAAACTGCATAGTGTTTTTGCACATACCCAAAGTTTTGATTAGGTTCGCAAGGTAATCAAAACTTGGCCCCATTACAGACAGTTCATTTCTCTTGTCTGCGTCAAACTTCGGCTCTCCATTAAACGAATATAGCTATTGTCCACAACCAGAGGAAATCAAACCGTTCTTAGGAGGCGGTGGTCACAGGTTCTTGAACAGTTTAGTGAGATCACCCACCTTTAAATTTAAAATCCGCATTAAAAATAAAAACAAACCTTCACAATACAATTTTCTGTCATAAAACCATTAATACTACTGTTTCGTTTAACGTTAATTGTCTAATCCGTGTCCCATAGAGTAAGTACGTCTTCACAGTGGCTATATTTCGCCAACTGTCTCAATCACTTCCAAGTAATCTTCGATCAATGTTTTATCAATGTCAATTGAATTCGCCGTGATTTCAAGCAAACTGTTCACAACTTGAAGCGAATCTGATGTAACTTCAAGTAAATTCAACCAATCGCATTCTACCGGGAATCTCACAAAGTGATTGATGCTTCACTCATCACATGTCACTAGTCAGACAGGGTTCAGTGGGAATGAACTGATTTCTTCATAGACAAAGAAAAGAATATTTGAGTGAGGTATCGAGTAAGTACGAAAGTTTCGGTGGGGTGGGGTATTAACTGGTCGACCCACCCCCGCGCCCTCCTCGAGTACGTTAGGTCATTAACCATGAATCGAGTGAGCTTTAGTCAAGAATTAATGAACCCGGTGTCAAATGACCTAGGTCGGATGGGTAAAGAAGCGAATCACATCAAAATAAATCCATAAATCTGGTCGCCATGCTCAGACGTGAATGTTGCTTGAATGGGTTATTCTAGATAGCCGTTGAGGCCGGGATTTCCTCAAATAACACTGATTCCTCTGCAGCGATTGCAGTTGTCCTTATGTTTTCGGCAGTAAAGGACATGCGACAAGATAAACACAAATGGTATATAGATACAGTGAAGGAACTACCATATAGTGCAGTTGCGTCAAGCAGTACAATATGCAAAACTGCTTGTATCTGCTGTCGAAGAAGTAAAGTCCTACAATCTTTCTGTAAATGATAGCAGCCACACTGAATTCTTCGAACTGTGAAGTAACTTCGAGCCAACAAAGTATCTTGGGTTTTGAGAGGCCCAACAGATTGAGTTTTTAGCCTTTGTACCGAAAAGGGAAATGGCTTCATCCATGAAAACCCTCGGCTACACATCCAAGTGTGACATATACTATGTGCAAAATTGCAGTCGGCCCTCGGGATCATCGGAATGAATCTCTTGCAGCTGAGTGTTTTTAAATGGATGGATGTTGTTTTCATTTATTGTCTTCCGCACAAAATATTGTGAACTGTCGCAGTTCTCGGTAATTTTCCTGGTAACCGTGTTGGGATCTCGCCGTAAATTTTTCTACACCTTTAAGATGCCAGATTCATCCGTCTTTATTTGTGGATGTCCCTCGCGTTCCAGGTCTGTATACACCCAGTCGATAAAAACATATCTGCACTCTCTCACCACCTGTCGTGAAGCCATGATAGAAACGAATTTAATGGTCGTTCGATTGTAACTGTTTTCTACAGAACTATAGTTGCACATCTTATCAAAGCAGATTATCCAGTATGGCTGAATGTTGTAACGTCTGCTTAGAACATACTGCTTCTACGATAACATCAGAGCAGGTTACCCAGGGTGATCTCTCAATGCTCAATGTTTTAACACCTGTGACCGACCGATACTTCATTCTTAATAGGACATCTGCTTTCGGGACCCAATTCGTGTTTATCCCTTAGACAAACAAATTGTTGACCTCCACCATAAACACTGAAAATATCCACTCACTTGGTGATGAAACGTTAGCAAGCCAATTGACGAACTTAGCAAACTGATGGAAATGAAATCTAACGTTTAAATGCAATGGGAATGTTGTTGATAACAAACTAAGAGCTGTTTCATCCTATTTGGGACTCGTCAGCAGTGCGTGCATCTTGTGTCCCTGTCAGGACTTGAACCGTGATTCTTCGGGTTGGGAATTCAAACCCTTACCCTTGAGCTCCACGGTCGACGGTTAACGCCTTGTGCGAATGGCTTAATCAATTTAGATAGTAAATGTTTGGACTAGTTCACTAGGTTTTTTATTCCTGACAGGGACACAAATAACATGCTCTGCTGACGAGTCCCAAACAGGGCGAAACAGTTGTCCATTCCTCTTTGTCGGTTAACATAAACATTTCCATCGCATTTAAATGCATACAAACAGTGGAGAATTAACGATCTCCCATGGGGTGAAACCCACAACCAAAATCATCAACAGTTCCTGGTGCTGTGAACAACCGAATGGGCTAATCGAAACAGTCACCATTGAAATCTTAGGTTCTTCAAAAGTCCTGGTAATTCTACCAATAAAATTTATTGAAAGTAACTTCAACTTTCGTTGTGTTTATCGGTTTTTGTCAAAGTAACACCCATAAGATACTAAGAATCCCGTATGAGCATACATATTAAAATTTCAACACATT